ATAGGAGGGTCGCCACCTCTTTAAAAAATCAAATTCAGTTTGAATTATGGGTATTTGGTAAGTTAAATATGCACCACCATATGAGTGCCAACCGAAAGGGGTTTCAGAAGGTAGTCGTTTGAAAATATTTTGAAGAAGGTTGCCACCTACTTAAAATGTTGAATTGAGTAAACGTATACACAATATATATGAAATATAAAAATATGGATGTCTTTAGTGTAAACATTAGGAAAATTGTTGAGGTGTTGTAAGAATTTTGCCACCTGTTTAAAAAGTTATATTAAAATTTTTAATAATTTAAAACCAACTGAAAATATTCAAGAAGGTTTTAGCTCGAGACTACTTTCGGAGAGGGTTTCCACCGGTTTATTTAATTTATTGGCAAGTTATTAGAAATATGAAAATACGGATGTCCCAGCGAGAGAGTGTTAAGAAATCTTTAGTTTGAACATTAAGAATGTTTCAGATTATTTTATAAAAATATGGTATGGTTTGAAAAGACTTTATTTTTGAAATATATTTAGCTGGGTTGCCACCTGTTAAAAAAAGAAACTAAACTTATATTAAGGCAAAAAGGTAATTGAAATACATACATATGTATCGCAATTTGGTTGTCAGACAAAAGTGATGAAGAAGTTTTCAAATAACTAGAAAATATTTTTTCAAAACAGCTGCCACCTGTTTGAAATGTCAAGTTTTGTTAAATTTTATACAAGGCATATTAAATATGTCAAATGAAAGAGTATGAAGAGATCTTTAGTTTGAACACTCGAAATATTTTTGAGGTGTTTTATGAGGGCTGCCACCTGTTTGAAAATTTAAATTTTTTATAAAGTTAAATGAATTATTAAAATATGGGTATCAATCGGAATAGATTGAACTATATATAGGAGGTTTCCACATGTTTAAAATATCAAGTTTTGTGAAATATTAAAATATGAGTTTCAATCGAAAGGGATTTATGAAAGCTTTCACCTTGCTTGCCACCTTTTCGAAATGTCATACCGATCTAAATATGTATATACACATACTATAAGAGACCACATTTTTTGTGTACCTCTTTATATTTGCACCGTTCATTCGAATTTTAAATATGTTAAAGTAAAGACCACATGGCCCATAGTTTTTGAAGCTAAAACTTATTTATAGATGGAGGATGATTTGAAATTTGATGATATTAAAAACCGACACTATGCCAGACCTCCCTTCACCCAGAAATGGCTGCACGGATTTAGATGAAATATTGCACTATTATCCCTTATAATTTTGACTAATATTTGGAATAGTTTCTAGATTTTTGCGATGAAGCAATCGTTGTATTTAACCGGAGCTTCCACCCCTGATTTGTGTTAACCAGACATTGAAAACCCGGACTTTAGTAAGTTAAATTAATCATTACAAGCGAGTGTGCAAGGCCTTGGCAGCACTATATACATACATGCAAGAGGATGTTGGGTTGTACTTAGGGACTTTCTCCTGCTCTTTCGCACTAAATATTCACAGCAATCCTTAAGCCAGTACTATTTTATGGGGTATTGATATGGTGGACAGCAACGAATAAGAAGATATACATACCTTAAAATACTGCAGTGTTTACAGGCTCTCAATGATCAGTAGAACGGGTTAGAGATGCCAGATCGAAATAAAAAAAAAAATCAATTTTTCAATCCATTCGAATCGAAATAAAAATAATCGATGTATGAAGAAATCGTTAAAAAATAAATCGATCTCCCAAGATGTGAGATAAGGTTTTTCTTTATTAAGATATGAGCATTCAACATAAACTTCATAAATTCTTTGCCCTACTTAAGAAAATGGTTACATTTGTTTCGAAATTGTGTTCTTTTTTTATTACAAAAGATGGAAATGTTATGTTTTACGTCTAAATTAACCGCTATTTTAAAAAGTGTATTACATATAAATATTGTATTTTTATGAGAAGCCGTTTTTGTTGTATATTACAACTTTATATTTTATTCCTTAATTAGCCTATTGGAAAAATTTCAGTATTGGCCCATAGAATTTTAGCATAATAAAGTGTAATTTTGAAGATTCGGTTTTTGGAATTTTTTTTTTGCTGCAGGTGTTTTCGCCATACAACGTATGTTTTAAATTGTTTTCATCTGAAAGAAAATATGCATCAGCGTCAAGCAAAAACACCGTCAAAAATGAACGGTAAATCCTTGCATATTTAAATATGCGCCATATCTTATAAGAGTCACTTTTTTTCTAAAAAGAGTAATTGCGGAGTACAAAAGTTTAATGAAAATTAGCACAAAGTTTGGAGCTGCAATTTTTAGAGTTTTTGTTTTAGTAATAGCCATGGGAGCCCCTTAGTCGAAAAGAGAGAGGGGCAGGACGTTGAATTCTTCGGTCTTTGCGCTTAAGTTGGAAAAGTGGATGGTGGCAATCCCCCTGAATTTTTGGTACCAGACTCAAATTAAAATTTCTTTAAAATTTTATAGATTTTCCTGGGCAAACCGTAGATTAATTGCACTCTCGATTTGCTTTCCATCGATACTTTCGCTGTAAACTTGCAATCACCCAAATAAAAATATTGACCTCACACAACAATTTCGATAATCGATTTCAGAAGTGTTGTACTTCCGGCATGGCGCTACACCACAGAAACAAAAAAAACAATCGCTAATCCACGTTCCCCTCTAATCGAAGCGTGCATGTATGATTTCTTTATAACTTGTTTTTTTTTTTCTTTTGGTTTTGCGCTTCTGTTGCTCTGCTCTTTGCATTGCCACTGAGCGTCGCGCTGCGTCGCAAGACGGGGAAAGCAAATTGCATTGACGCATTTTCAGTCTGTTTCCATTCTGTTTTGTTTTCGATGAATTAAAAGCGTAAACACTCTGCCGCGCCACCAAAGAAAAACCACCGCCAGCAAGCGCAGCGCCCCTTCAACGAGGCAACGTCAAAATGATAGCCGTGTGCGAGGGCGCTGGGCGCAGGAAACAACAGAGCGTAAAAGCGCGCTTGCCCCAGCGAGAGAGCGCGCATGAGAGAAGAAAATATGAGCAAGGAATAGAACAAAAAGCGAGGACTACTCGTAAAGTGCGCGCCTTCCGCACGACAACCAAGCATATCCTTTACGTAGGTACTTTACGTTACGCTTTTACTATGTAGGCGTACACGCGACAGCGATAGCGGCCATGAGCGTGAGTGCCACCAGCAGCAGTGCAGGTGAGGAAGGTTTGCGGCGTTGCGAGTGTCTCTTGAGGGTGGCGCGTGCATATGAACGCGCGGATGTGTGAGTGTGTGTGCATGCGCGCGCGCGCGCGCCTATAAATCGGCAACACGCTCTCAACGGTGTAGAGTTGCTGGCTAGCATGCGAGCGTAGCATTGCATAGTTTTAGTTTGAGAAAGGTGCTTGCCGGCGATAGGCGTACGAGGCAAATGCAAAGGCGTGCGTGCGTGCGTGTTTGTTTTTTCACACACTGTTTTTCTTCATATCTACTAGATATAGTCTATTTATAAGCAAGCGTCAGTGTTGCATATGTATGTACATACATATACTCGAACAGAGATAGAGACATGCAAAATCAACAAACAAAGTACATTCATGCATTGCGCTTCGCAAACATGCAATTGCGTCAATCGTGAATTGTGCGCACAAGTGAAAAGAACTCAGTTAGTGGTAGAATTTTGTGAAAATTTGACAATTATTATAAGTGAAAATTTTTTGTATGCGGCCGAGTCAGCCGTAGGAAATTTTGCAGTGATTTACATATCGTTAGCAAGTAAATTTAGTGGCTTCCGCGTTGCAAAAGAAACGCACTTGAGAAATGTGTTTGGCAGGATTCCGTCGTCTGTCGTCGTCGTAGATGTAAAATCGATATTTTCGTGCTGCATCTTACGGCGAAAGGTGCTCGGCAGCAGTGCTGTCGCTTGAGCGCCGCAGCGCGGTAGCAACGTAACCGGCAGCGGCAACGTCAACAGCAGCGCTTAAAAGTCTACAGCAACGAAAATAATAATAAAATAATAGCAGCAACGCGTTTAACGGTAAATTAGTGTGCAATACGTTTACGAAAGCTGCGGAATGACAGCTAAGTGCGCGTCGCTGTCTGCGCTTTGCTAGCGCTCGAGCTTTTGCTAGCTGTATATCGAAAGGCGCTGATGATAATTATATTGTTGATGAGAATAGCTACGTCTATGATTATGACCAGTGTTGCCGTTTTAGCCCTTTGGTGGCTAGATTTAGCTACCACATACTTTTTTTGGCCACATAAATTTAAATTTGCCCCTAGCCCTTTTTTTAGCCCTTTGGGAGAATTTACTTATACTTGGCATGAAAAAGTTGTATATGCTTAATTTGATCTAATTTTTTTTTCATTTATGTAAGAGATGAATTTTTAAACTTAGAAAGACTGATGTATATACATTTAGTTTAAAATAGATAAGTTTACGGCCCTTAATATGCTTAATTTGTTAAATGGCCCATCAAGTCGATTGACTGTGTATGTTCTTGTGGTGTGATTGTACCAGCTGCTGGTGTCATGAGCGGTAAAATTAGCTCAATTTTCTAAGTAAAAAGTATTTTGGTGGAAATTTCTTGCACTATATGAGTCAAAGCCGTGTTTGTGGAAGATTATGGTCACGATATAGTAGTTGTGAATTAAAAAAAAAACACAATGTTTAACAAATTGGTAGAAAAATTATGAAATTTCGGCTCTAACCATTTCGATCTTTCCTCGACCTCATTTGTAAAGAAATAAATATTGTACCAGCATGCTGGTAAGTTATATGCTTCGAGCGTGATGGTACAATCACTTGATGGCGCCATCAAGCTGGTGTCGTATATTTCCCCTTTTATACAAAAAGGTTTTTGGTTGGATAAAATATTTGCTATTTTTCCAGAGTTCGTTGTTTTTCTATACCATTGCTTATTGAAAATGTTTGCGTGTATATATGTATGTATATGTAAGTAAAAAAATTTAGCTACCATTTTTAGCCACAACGACTTTTTTTAGCTCTTTTTTAGCCCTTTTTTTAAAGGAATTTGGCTACCACTAAAAATGATTCGCGGCAACACTGATTATGACTATGCCTATGATTACTACGATGGCGATAACGTTGACGAACGCAATGTCATTCCCAGCCGCCTGCTCGTTGGCGTATACGTGTCTCGTCGATTTGTGCCGTTCGGCCACAATCACTACCAACACAACCAGCAGTGCTACTACTACTACCGTGATACATACATGCGAGTCAGCTCTTTTATGGATGTTGTTGCACTTGTTGTTGTTACCGTCTGCAGTCTTAATTTATGCCGTAAAAATGTAAACGTGACTCGTGCAGCGTTGGCGGCGGCGTCGTCGTTATCGTCGTCTCTGTCATCGTTGTTAGCATTGGCTGCGGCGTTTTAAAGGAAGTGCTTTCTAGAAAAGCCAGTCTGTTCGCAAGCCAGTTAGTTAGTGGTGAGCCAAAGGAGCGAGCGCCTAAAAAGAAGGAGTTAAACGAGCCAGCCAGACAGCTAGGCAGTCTTTGAAGCAACTCAACTTGGACCCAGTCACAGCACCGAGTGAGACAGGAAACCCGACCTCAAAGGCGTCGTACATACTAAAGCAGCAACGTCAGTCAGCTTCTTGGCAGGGGTTTTTTTTTTTTAGTTTTAAAAGAATGAAACGCTCTGCATATTTGTGAAGTTAGTCGCATTTAAGAAAAACTGTGTTTAAGCTGTGCTAAATATAATAATAATGATAAAGTTTGTTAGGCAAAAGAATCGCGAACAAACAGTTAAAGCATCAAGCAAGAGTTTCTTTAAGAAAAAGGTGAGCGTCTGCCGGCGTAGTGTTGAAATAGTCGCACGCAGACATTGATATGCATGGACACACACTTACGTGCGCGCGCCTCAAACACATACAGCAACACACTAGTACACACCCACATCTTAGCAAGCGCAAAAGTGCCTAGACGTCGGTGTCGGCATCGGTGCCGTCCTCGTCGATGCAGTGGTCGTTGTATCCTTTGCTTCCTTAACGCCAGTGTCAGCTCGCTTTTTCGACCTTTTCCTAACTTTATGGCCTACAAGTTTCTTCGTGTTTTCAAGCTGCAGTTTATTTCACATTTCTTTTATTCCCCCAATTTTTTAGTTCCGTAAATAAAATTGTTTTGCAAACGCACGTCCGCTTCGCGTAAGTCCGGAAATTCCGTCGCGCACTATTACAAATAGAAAGTTTTAGTTAAAAATGTATCCGTATACAAATTTATTTTGTGTATGAGCGTATTTTACGCGCATGTGTTCGTGTGCGTTTACAATTTTTGTATACTATATCATGTCCGTGTTATTTTTGTTTGTATATATGTATTTTTACATAAATAAATAAGTATGTGTTTGTGTTTGCTTTGCTTTCAGGGCGAGTCGAATGATTCCGGTACCGAATCTGATGGTGACGTCCTAGATGTTGACAAGCATCGCCCCTTAGACTTGGACATGGAAACCAGTGAGTTGAATGAATTTTCTTAATATTTTCAATGCTTTCATTTTTGTTTCTTTTTTTTTTGTAATGTAATTTAAATTTAATGGGTGCAACAGAACCAGGGGACACCGCGACCTAGAAGATCTTTTGTAGCCCCTTAATAGTTCCTAACCCTGACAGTCCAAGCAATTATCAGCCTCTCTAATAAAAGCAAATAGTTTCTTGGTAGATGAATTCCTGACATTAAGGGCTGTGGACGATCTGAAGTATTGAAATCTTAGTCTGACCAATGGTCCGGCGCATTCCCCTTTTCAAAACAAAAACGGCAATCAGTCTCTGTGTAGAGGCCGGAACAACTTTATGTTGGCTCTATTCTATAAGATTTAAATCTTTCTCAGCGAAAGGATAGGCAAAAAATGCAAGCCTGTCTACGTCCCTCTAGCTCTCCTCAGTACATACTGCGTTCTAAATTTACCCACACTTCGATTATCAGTCTCAAGGAGGATCAACGGAGTCCACAAAATGGTTTCGTTCCTGCAAGCACAGACAATGAGCCTTCCCTGAAATTTTTTGGCGACGTCACTACCTGCGATTCCGGATTCCGTGTTACTTATTGCTAAGATTTGGAGAGTGCCAAAGCCCTCCATGACGAGCCTAGAGATTATCGTCCTTGCCATAGGACCCGGTTGGCCGCCTGGCTGTCTGAAAAGATAACCCTTTTCAAGGTTCAAACTGCCAAAAATTGAAATTGCTAGTACCTCGACTTGAACGACTGTGGACCAAATGTCCATTGCAATAGAATTTTGATGTCAGGTCCATAGACACCCGCACCGGCTCTGTCCTCTTTCTTTGATTCCTCTGTATACCAGAGTAGACAGCGCACGTATCTGGGATCTAATTCAAGTAAACTATTTGACCAGACCCCTCGGTCTGAAATTTTGCCCAGAAATTTCTTTGCAACTCAGATTTTCTTTAGCATGGAGTCGGAGAACTAGCAAATTCTTATACCTGCTCTTTTGCTTAAGATGGTTTTGTTGTTGTGTCTTTTTATAAAGAATACAATCCGAAATTTGCATTTGCAATTTCCTCGAATCGGCTGCTACTTGGACAAAAATATAGAGTAGAGCCCAACCCAGAAAACCTCCCTGGCTTTTATGTTCACGGAACTGTTGCCTAGGGGTGCTGTTAAATCGCGGTCACGAAGCAAGGTGTTTATTCACCCGACAGTAGAGAACTTCGTGCTTCTTCGGACCAGTGTCCTTGAGATCAGTAGGTAGTATTATCAAAAACCGGATATATATCATCACCCTCTGCTACTTTGAAAGGTTCAAAACACTCTAATGCCCCCGGTACTTTGTCTCTGTCAAAGATGCAACCAGACCTGCTCAGCCTTCTAACCCTACATTTCGTGGAAATAAGAATCGACCGATCTTGTCCCAGCGAAGAGCCTGGAAAATGTACTTAGAGCAGGTATTTCAAGTTGTCGCCCTTGAAAATACCATCTTTCTATTTTAGGAGTCCTACCCCATTGGAAGGCTCTTTCGTAAGAATTTTTTGTAGACAGGAGGCCTCAGGCAGTGTCCCTATTAACCCACTTTTTGCCTCTACGTTTCCCTCTAGGAGCGTCTTATAAGATTATTGTATTCAGAATGATTAAAAAATTCAATGGAAATTTGTCTTAGCCATAAATTCCCTATAAAGGCTGTATTTTATTGAAGACCGTTATATATTTTAAACTTCAGAAGTAATTTGGAAGTTCTAATTTGTAGAAGTATATGACAATGGATGTAGTAGAATCTCAGATATTTCGCCAGTTTGGAAAAAACCAAAGGTTTAACCATTAAGCTCTGGGCACTCAAAATTGTTCTGTTTTAGTTTTGGAATTGAAATTGTTATATGAAACTTAGTAGTTTAAACAAAGATGAAGGAGTCTTCTCCTCTAAAGACTCTTAAGGTTCTCCTACTTCCCTACTTTTTAAGCAGTCCAGCCCCAGAAAAAGTTTTCATCTATTGGCATCGTTGGCTTCAGCAACGTGGTCTATAATCGGCATCTCACCTGAGCGTTATTCTCTTTCAAGTCGTTAATCGGCTTTCATTAATTATATTTAGGTGGCGCGTCAAGTTGGAGAGATCAAGTTAGCGTTTATACCGTTACCCATAAGGATTTAAGTCCAAACATTCTTTCTCCATTTTAACTTAAAACTCTAGAGTGGGTGATAACTGAATAAATAAAACGCACTTGCTTGATATTTGAATCAAAAGTTCAACAGTAAAAAAAGTCGATCAAGATGGCCTAGCTAACAATCATTAAGAAGATATGGCAAGCATTCGCACTTAAAGACCTTACGGAGCCCTTTAGATAAGCTTGGCTGGATTATCCACCTTGATGACCTGAGACATGCATCGAAGGGTGAGTGAGAGTAGGCACCCCCAAAAGGTGATATTGCCTCACGTCTTCTTTAGATTGCAGATCTATAAGCTTACTGAAGGAGCTAGTGGGGTGGGCTGACAAGGCGCTGATTGCGAAGGGTAACTAATTCAAAGGCCTCTACCGCCGTCAGACTTGGTGACTGTGTTAGTTAAGAAGCTAGAGCGGATGCAACTGGTTGCCCTTTTCGGAATTAGTGGGGCATTTTGGACCTCTACAACTCAATCACTTAACTTCGTCATGAATCCTTTAAAGACATAGTTACATTTTTGAAAGCTTCGACTTCGTACCTAGTAACAAAGATCTCTGCCTACCTATACTGGATTCGAGCAGTTCTTTCTTTACTTACAACATCTCACCGGATGTGATGAAGAAATCAGTTAGAAGGGAACCGTTTACACGAATAAATGGAAGCTTGATGGAACAGTCGGCAGAGTGTCCTCTATCGGGCACTCTCCATTAGCATCAAATTTAAGATTCCAGGCAGAGGTAGCAAGTTATTTAAGAACATTCTGAAAGTTTTAAAAACCTCTTTCTTTCTCTGAAATTAAATTTAAAGGGTATGCGGTGAGTTCCTGTGCTTCGGGACCTAAATTACGCATGTTGGGGGTATTCCTAAGATAGTTCAATTAAGATCATTTTACAAAGGATAGCTACCTGCTTTTAGCTTTTAGAGACTTTTCTGTAAAAAAAAAGTCAAAGAACAACTTACATATGGCTTCCACGTCAGCCTAGACAACGCCGAAGTATTAAGTTTGAATAGGCCAAGTTTGTGAAGACAGTTCGTTATAGAGAATCTCACAGCTCATTCAAAGAGAACGTACGCTGTGGAACTTGCAAAAAATATCCGCTTCGATTTATTTCTATCTGCGATTTTCTTAAAAAAAAACTTATCGAAGATTATTTGAAATAATCTCTTTCGGCAGAAATCAAACGCTCTATTGTTGTTGTAAGATATAATACAATTATTTCCCCTTTTTCTTCGCCCTCAGGCTTAAGCTCGTGCGCCGATGTGAATTCGCCAACCACAGACACCGCTTGCTCCTCGTCAGCGTCCTCTGCGATGATGTGTCAATCCCACCTTTTATACGATCAACACAGCTCCGAGGAGGAATTGGAAGTGATCAATGGACCATCATCGGTGGCAGCCGCTGAGGCGGCGTCCAATGTATTGGTGGTGCGGGGCACCGCCTCATCACTCATATCGGAGCGTGGCTCATCGTCGTTGGAGCCCGAAGAACTATTCGGCGAAGCATCGACATCGAAACGTTCCAGCTCAACATTAGTTGAGAATCGTAAAAGATCTCTGGCCCACAGCTCCGATGATGATGTAAGCCAACAAAGCAAAGCGATAGATGAAATTTTGAAAATAAATATCTTTAGTTTAAAGCACTGCTGATATTCAACTCTTTTTTATTTGTCATTTAGCAGCTGAGGAACTTCTTGGAACCGGTGTTGACCCCAGTGAATTTTCGCACATCGCCACCATTGGAAGCTTTCAAGCCAAACCGCAGCCACAAATATCGCTCCACAACGCCACTGATATTATCGGAGGCTCGCTGTGGCATCGAAAATATTAAATTATGTGATAATAGTGTTAATGACGAAAATGGTGAGGCTGCTTCGTGTGCGTCGTCGTTGTTGGGCGCAGCAAGCGGTGGCAACGGTAGCGGTGGTGGTGGCGGCGCCTGCGGTGGTGATGCCAGTTCAACGAGTGTGATTAAGGCGTGCGCCTCATCGCTCAAAATGAGCAATAGCAGCCATCATATCTATCAGCCGCAACCCAAATATAATTTCCACTATAATAGTTCACGCAGCAGTCCAGCATCAACGACCGCTCTCGATGCGATGGAGGTGCGCTCGGTTAGTCCACCGGCGAAACTCTTCCATTCGGCTAGATCACCACACCGCCGACCGATACGCACACAACACGCCACACAGAGGCTACAGCGACCACATCGGCCGTGCTTAGACTTCGACAAAATGCAGCAAGTAAGTCTCTAATGCAGCGCCAAATCAAAGACTTTTTACTTCTTACTAATTACCAGTAAATGTACCTAAAAGCTCGCATTACCCAAAACGAATACAGTATGATGATGCTGATGATGAGGATAAATGATATCTAAGAAAGATGATGATGATGATGATGATGAAGTTTATGTTAAGGGAAGCATAATGAGTTAAAGAGGTGATAATGATGAAGCTGAAGATGATAATGATAATTATGTTTATGACAGTAATGTTGATAATCGGTTTTGTATAGCAAAAAAGTGTAATGAAGAAAAATTAATGCAAAATTTGTATCTTTTATGCTAAGAAAGAAGAGCAAAGTGTCAGCAGATATGGCTATCAATAATATGTATACTTTTTTTAAAAAAAACATGGCGCCATATAATTAACAGCGAAAAATAAGAAGAAAAAAACAATAAGACATGCAACTACTTATATTACAAAAACAATAGCCCCAATTATCCAAACACTAATGGCCTTATTCATAAAAAATAAAGTAGGTTTAAAGAGCTTTATAAATTGACGATTTCATACATTTTTCAATTTATAAACCTTTTATAAAGCTACTTTATTTTTAATGAATAAGGCCATAAATTTACACTCTTCAGTAACTTGAAATCAAAGCTAGTAAACAAACCAGGAATTTATTATAAGCATGTGAGGGTTTATAAAAGCTCACAATTTCTATCATTTTAAGTAAACAAACGAATTAAAAATTAATAGTTTTCGTTGCATAGTTAAACAGAAACTTTAAACTCACGCCAGTTCTACAAAAACGCCGATTATGTCAAGTTCTGCTCATTTGGACAAAACCAAAATGATGTCGTAATTTTTTTTTTTTTTTTACCAAACAAGTCTACTTATGGGTGCATCGAATATGATAACTAAACGGTGGTTGCAGAGCGTTTTCCGCGTCATTTATTGCCATATTAGAACACCTCATCAGCTCTACCTTCCAATACTAACATTAAGATGGTCCTTTGAGGCCAACGCAGTACGATATTTTCACATAATAAACAATTTCACTACTTTGGGTCCTACATATATTTGTCAAAACCAGTTGGCTATCGACCAAAATTGTGACTTTTCAGATTGTCAGTGTGACCAGTTCATCACAAAAAAATGAAACAAAATTGAGATAAAAAAGTTACACAAAATTAGCTACAAGTGAACGGTACACAAATTAATTTTGAAATTTTTTCGATCAAAACTTCGCAGTCGGGCTTCTCTTAAAACGAAAGGCCTTTCGTGCTCGGCGCAGCACCAATTTTTACACACCGCGACTCGCAAGCTCCAATTTTTCATTTATTTGAAATCCATTGCTTCCAAATAGCAGAGCAGCTATTGGAAGGTCTGCTGCCAAGTTCACCGCAATTTTGTTTTTAACATTTCTATAAAGCCGCTATTTTTTCTAAGAGTACTAAAAAGAAGAATTTACTTGCTATTGCATAAAATTCAGCTTGAAATCAGCGCCAGACGAAAATGCTGATGGAATAGCAGGTCCTTTGGTCCATTCTCCTTCCAATCCGGGTCCAAGTGCTCAGCGCTGAGCTTAAAGTCAATTTTGACTACACTAAGCTGGGCTCCTTTTAATTTTCGCAACATTGCCGTGGCTTCCTGGGTACAGGCGCAAGATCATGTAGGCTCCTCCTGGCCACCCACCGTTCTCGATAAGCCGAAGCATACGAATTTTGGTACTAAATAGTTAACCAACACGAAATCGAATGGTTTTTTTGCAAAGCATATGCTAAAAATTTTCCTTCTAAGACATCCTAAACTTCCCTTAAACTCCTATGCTGAGCCATCTGCATTCAACGTCTGACTCAGCATTTCTATAAATGGCGCCGTAAGATAACGCATCCACTGAAGCAGCAACTGCGTCCAGTCTTCCTGCTTTTATCTTACCTATCGGGCAATGTTCAATAAGAACTCCATTGACGTACGCCATATGGATTTGTCCTATAAAAGAAGCGCGTACCGTGCTCCGAAAGTTCAAGTAATTTCCTCTATATTCCGCTTTCTGCGTAGTCATAGACAGTCCTGAGGAGAGTTTAATATGTACTCTACTGCCCCGGGATTACATTACACCATCTTTCTCTTAGTTAAAGGTCGGCGAGGGTTGCCGCTGTGAATTCGATTATTATTATTGTAGAAGGTATGTTCGTGATGACCGAATTTTCAAACTTCTTGAAGGCCATCCTGGCATTACAGCCGCCAAGCACACTTTAACCATCTTGGTGAAGGCAGCGCTCATATGCATCTTCAAGTAGCTCACATAATTTAGGATCATATAACTAGATCTTCTACTCTGTCGAGGCGAGCACTCCAATCTGGATGACGTTGTTAAAATTTGATTTTTTGGGCATTGTTTCAATTCGTTCACAAATGGGGGTGAACCTGGAGACAAGTTGTCGGAGTCTCCGCCAACCCTATAATCTCCCAAACGGCTATAGTAGAGCCGCATATTGCATACTTTTTACAGCCATGTCCTGTCCAACGCATTTCCTGTATTCCGGTGCTCTCCGTCTGATATTACTGAAGCGCATCCAAAAATTGGTTTGCGGTAAGTCCGCTGCATATCCGTAATCGCGAATCCCGTGATATTTTTTGTTGTCGAAACTAGGCTCTCAGACTACGTGTCGTTCATTGTACTGTTTTCATGTTCCATTTAATAAGTCTTCGGTGGCCAAAGGCGGGAGTGCTATAACTGGTTGCGGACCGACGAATGCCTGGTGTAAGCCAACTCTGGCTTAATGGGCAGATGTCTCATCACCGGGTACTCCCGAGTGACCAAGCACCCAGAGTAAAGCAAGCTCATTATGTTTACCATCATAATTTAGTCTCAGGACTTGTATTGCCGGAGGGCTGTCCAATGCCTTAAATGCAGCTTGGCTGGCACTGCAGACACGTAAACTCCTTCCCCTTCAACTATTTCCCACTACGTAGTCCATGGCTTTACAAATACCTCAGCTTTATTCCCCAAAATTAAAGCAAAGCTTATCCCCATTATCTTCCATGAAGACCCCCGATCCTGGCTCGCAGTCATCAGTAAAGATTCGACAATGTGCGGGTCCGGGCTAAGTGTTGGAACTCCGCATTATAGAATCTCTTAAACAAAGGTAATGGTGACGTACTATCCTTTGGAATTAAAAAGACACAAGTGCTCGGATCTCTGCCTCCAGAAAATGTCTTGTGGTTTAGTCTACACCTTTTCCAAGAGTACTTCAGAAAGCATCAAATGTACTTCAGAATAGTCATTTGTACTTCAGAAATAGTAAAATGTACTTCAGAATAGTAAATTGTACTTCAGAAAAAGTAAAATGTAATTCAGGATAGTCAATTGTACTTCAGAAACCGTAAAAATTATTTCAGATACTGTAAAGTTTTCTTCAGAATAGTCAATTGTACTTCAGAAACTGTAAAAAGTATTTCAGAAAAGTCAATTGTACTTCAGAAACCGTAAAATGTACTTCACAATAGTCAATTGTACTTCAGAAACCGTAAATTGTACTTCAGAAACCGTAAAATTTACTTCAGAAGACGAAAGTTACTACATACATATTGTAATTATTTAAATGGTATATATAATAGTATTTTCAAATATGTTTATTTTTTTAATATATTTTCCAAATTACAAGTCCATAGAAGCAGTTTGTTCGCAATGTCTACTATATATTTAAGAATGAAACAATTAAATTAATGCAGACTAAATTATGTTCCAACTGCCACGTCGTATAAAGATAGTGCATCTGCATGGATGAAAACTGGTATAATGTTGAATCGCTATGCCACAATCGCCACCAACAACTGTCGCTTTTCCCTCGTCAACGCCCGGACCAAATAATAATGTCGCTTGTACATATTCCATGTAGTAAATGCTTGCACGGTAAAATTCGGACTATGAACAAATATATAGCCTTCCGCTTTATGCTGATATGGCAAACTACGTACTTTACATTAATTTTACTTGTTAATATTAACATTTTCTTATTGAAAAAATAATCAAGTTCAACATCTTGTAATTTTCATTCGATTGTGATTTATCGCACCTAAGGCAATTATTATTTTTTTTTTTAAATAATTAAACTGAATAAGAAGATCTAAGAAATGGAGGTGCAAGATAAATGCGTGATCTGCCAAATCAGCATGAAGCGGAAGACTATAGTCCGCATTTTACCGTGCAAACATTTGTTACATGCGTTATGTTCAAGAGAGATTGTGGAATCTGGGTCTTGTCCGATTTGCAGACAAGTTATTACTGGTAATGTATTTTTTACCGTAAAACCACAAATTATTTTAAAATATAAATGTGGTTTTAAATTTATATGTTTATGTAGAAACTGAAGCGGTTCAGCGCAAAAAATATAAATCTACACGAGCCAGGACAGGAGCAGAATTGTAGAAGCTGCAAATAGGAACGAGGACTGGGTAGGATTGGCAGGATCATTGGGCGTAAACTACAAAACGGCCTATACATGGGTGACGTTCGGAAGAGACAACTCGCTCCAAAGGGGAGGAAGAAAAGTGAAGTACCTTACAGACGGGGAATTGGACAGTGTAATAAAATGGGTAGAAGAGGACTGCACGGTAACGCTAAAGAAATTAAAGACTAAAGTTCGGAATGCTTTCCAAAAAGATGGCTCAACCTCCACAATTGGAAATCATTTGCAAGGTAGATTGTATACAATTAAAAGTGTACACCACCAGCCAGCAACCATTAACAGTGCCGTAAACAAGGCCAAGCGCGCGGAATACGTAACAACGTTGAATTCATATATACAAGCCGGAAAGCAAGTGATATATATCGATGAATCAAACTTCAATTTGTTCTGTCGTCGTAAACGGGGTCGCGCTCGCTCTGGATGTAGAGCAGTTCAAATACTACCAGCTGCGCGAGGACCAAACATTCACCTGATTGGAGCTATTGCCACTTGCGGAGTAGTAGCGATGGAGCGCCGTCGCGGATCCTTTAAAGCTTCGGACGCATGTCAGTGGATCCATACAGTGCTACAGAAGTGGGTTGACTTGGGTAACAACCTCGGGGATCTGGTTGTTGTTAGCGATAACGCTCCGTGCCACTCCCACTTAGAAAGTGCAATCAACAACTTTAACGCGACAGACAAAGCAACGCTCCTACGTCTTGGACCATATTCGCCAATGTTGAATCCAATTGAGAATATTTGGTCTACAATTAAAACGTATGTTAAGACAAATATTGGCATTCCAGCTACATTTGGTCCGGGCGTTGTCGAGCAAAGGCTCTCGTACTTGGAGCAACTTATTGACGAGGCAAAAGCGACAGTTGTTGGTGGAGATTGTGGCAGAGCCATTCAACATTCTACCACTTTTCACCCAGATGCACTATCTTTATTCGGTATGCCAGCTGGTACATAATTTAAAACTGCATTAATAAATTAATTGTTTCATTCTAAATGTATAGACATTGCGAACAAACTAATTTACTTGTAATTTGAAAAATATATTAAAAAGTAAATATATTTAAAATCACTATAATATATATACTATTTAAATAATTACAATGTGTACGAATTTTCGTCTTCTGAAGTACATTTTACGATTTCTGAAGTACAATTTACGGTTTCTGAAGTACAATTTACGGTTTCTGAAGTACAATTGACTATTCTGAAGTACATTATACGGTTTCCGAAGTACAATTGACTATTCTGAAGAACATTTTACGGTTTCTGAAGTACAATTGACTATTCTGAAGTACAGTTGACTGTTCTGAAATACATTTTACGGTTTCTGAAGTACAATTGACCATTCTGAAGTACATTTTACGTTTCCTGAAGTACAATTGACTATTCTGAAGTACATTTTACAGTTTCTGAAATACATTTGACGCTTTTTGAAGTACTCTTGGAAAAGGTGTAGATCTTTTCTATATTGTCTACATGTATGCATGACTAATTATGAATTATTTTTCTACTTCCTTTACAAAGTGAGATATACATATTTTTTTTTTGAGAAGATAATAAGTATTGCCTTACTCGAACTGTCACTTAGGCCGCATTGGATCGAACAATTTGACGCCACCCTCCTCTAGTCCTCCACATCAAATCACAGAGAGTTTGAGGAAATTTTCTTTCTGCTCATGCTATTGAAATGGCATAAATCAAGAGCTCTACTTAACAGAATTTTGCATGCTTTAGTTGCGTGTTGACAGAAGTTCCATACAAAAGTAGCTTTCGTCAGAGTCTGTGTAACATTTTGACGATTACTGTTGAACTTTAAGGCATCTTAGAGGCAGAACTGAATGCACTATCATTACACGGAGTCCTTAAACAAATTGTCTATCCCCTGACTTGTCCCCAGTAATGGTGATCATTTGAGCTTTGATGGTAAAGCAAACTATAAGCAAAAAATACGTGGAAGGACTCTTCGGTCGATGTATTTTGGAGAGAATTTGCGTCACCCCTTGTCAAATTTGGTTTGGAGACAAACCGGTTTCGGCGTTATGCTAATTTTTTTTATTCTGGTGAATTCTTGTTGGATGCTCGTCCTACTCATTATATCCTACTTCTTTTTCTATCTCACGTACGTCTTCTTAGTTTTGCGGTGCTCAATAGGTAGATGAATTGTTGTGGATTGTTTTTGTTTTGTTTTTCTTCAGTGTCTTTAAGGTTTTTTTTTTGTTTTTCTTCTCGTACGGTAGTTTTAGACATATATGTAATATATGGCAGTAAGAGCTAGTACCGTCCAAAAACACTACAGTACAGATATATCAATAAGCACGTACGAAAGAAAAGGAACACATACGTTTATAAATAAACATGTACACGACACATTTACAAAAACGGCACTCAAGTACACAATACATTGACAAAAACAGTACTAGACTGTCTCGCTTTGATTTCGGAATCCTTACACATTGAGATGTTAGCTTACTACCAATATAGAAGTATTACATATATGGTTTTAGAGGTTCAAATGGTACGTCCAATGTAGTATTTATTTGTTCATTTATTATTTGCCCTTTGAAGGTTTTTTGTTTATATTACTCCATATTTTCTACAACATTTAATCTTTGTCCTTTATGTTGTACATAGAAAAGCTCTAACTGACTGATTTTTATTGATGACTTTTATAAATAAAAGTCTTTAATAACTGTTATCTAAGACATATAATATAAAAATCAAAAATAACTATTATTTGCAGATTATTTAGATAAAAATTAAAAATAACTCTTATTTTGGATTTATAAAATAAAAATCACAAATAATTGTTATTTAAGAAGTAATTTAATAATAGTCAAAAAATAATTGTTAAATAGCAACTTTTATAATAAAAGTTGTAACTGTTACGGTCCCTGGTCAAAACTGTATGTTTTTTGCCGGTGGAGTCTTTAAAAAAGTCATCAAAATTTTCGTAAACTTATATAAGTCTTCTGAAAATAATTATGTATGTGTGTAGAAAAGTTTTTAAAGTCATCGATAACTTTTATTTTGAGACTTATATTATAAGAGTCTTCATAATTATAACAGAGTAGAAATTTTTTAAGTCTTAAAGGACAGGGATTGTTCAGTCCCAATTCGGGATTAGTTGCGGATCAGTTCAGGACTAGTTTGGGAAAGCTTTAGCAGAATGAAATATTAACATATGTAGACGTTATCTTGAAAATATATATTTGGCAGGTTGAGACTGCCTAAAAAACTATATACAAATGTATACGGCATAACCAAATCGTTTGACAAGAATTTATAAAAGGGATAGACCCTGCCAGACGAGGGGTCTAAAATGCTTAAGAGGTTCTAATTTTTTTTAAAAGCTATGCTCATACCTCATTAAACCAATGGTAGAACCAAAGAGGTCTGACGGATTAAGGGCTTTACAAAACATATTGCTCTCAATTTTCCTCTCTGGCGCTTCAATAGCTTTCCCTATAAGACAATTTTAAGTCTTAACAAGACATCTAAGTTCTTTTTAGGGTGTGTAATTTCACTTAGCCAATATCAGGAGGGTTTCGATTAAAGTACCTCTGCTGTTCATATAAAAACCACGTTTAAGGAAGTATAATTATGGCAAGTAAATAAAATTTATTTTAAATATATGATTGGGTCAAGCTCCCATTGAACAAATAAAATTTGGATTTGAGATTAAGCTTGGCTACAAAAACTTTTGAACGAACGGCTATAGATTGCTACCAACTGGTTCTAATATTAAAAGTCGCTTAAAACAAAAATGTCTGAGCCTCCCCTTGACTATCTTGTTTTTGATTTGTACTAATTCAATGTCGAATGGACA